CACAGTACATCTGACTCACTGGAGGGCATCTGGGTTATTTCCTGGGTGATTTTATACATGTCTTTTTCGCTCTCCACCTGATTCTTGCAGTGCAAGAAGGCGGGGGCAATATTGTCACCATTTTAATTTCTTTTAAGAAAAAGTAGAAATCATAATTTTTATGTGAAAATAACTAGGGGGCCAGCTTAAAGTTTCTAGAAATATTTAACAGGAAAATGAGAAACGAGTCTGCAGGCCATTCCTTCCGAGCCTCCACTTTAAGTTTTCTAGATTAGGTCATTCATGTTGAGAATTTTTCACCTGAATCTAGTAGTCAAGTTAACTGGAAGGTAACTTAGAAAAACTTCCTTTAGTACTAAAGAGTGGCAAAGAAGAAACTATACAGAGGCAGGAATTTTAATAGGTGTTCACATTAGCAAGCCACAAGGTAAATCCATTTAAATGTGTTCATTTAAAACAACTGGTTGTAGTGCCTGGAAATTACAGTGAAGCATTCATTTAACACCCCAAATTCAGAAATAAGGGAAAAAGGATTATCTTCAGGGAAGTAAAATTTTAAAAATGAAAACTTTAAAACCTTTCAAATATTTTACAAAGCCTCTAGAGAAATGCAAAATTTTCTTAAAAAGACTAAATGGCTTCTAGGCCAACAAGATTTGACTGTAATTTCATTAAAGAAATTAATGTTTTTAATAAAGACATGTGCCAGTGAGGGTGGGAGATGGTCAAAGAAGACTCCAGAGCCTGTTTTAAGTACTGTGCTTGCCCAAGACTCTGCCAGCAGGTCAGCCATGACTGTGGAGATGGTGTCACTGGGGAGAGAATGCAGTCTTCATAACAACCCATGTATTTGTCTGGTTAGTGTGACAGCGGCATGCATCTCACTCTCTTGTTATTCCCAGTTTCTGAGATCTGCTTAACTGGAATATTCCCTATGAGAGATGGTTCTGCTGGTAGTTTCTGGGACTGGAAAGCTGAGAGCCACTCTCAGGACTGCTAGGGCCCTAGGAGGTGGTGACATTGCCCTATGGCGCTTCTTTGGGGACAGACTGTTTTGCTACCATTGGTATCTCATCTGCATTTCCATGCACTTGTGTCTTCATATTTCTACATTCTTTAAGTGCTTACCTGGTGTCAGGCCCCAAGTTCAAGTACTGAGGGTAAGCTCTGGAAGACAAATCCTGATTCAACCTCATGAAACCTCTAGAGCAGGACCTTTTCTAGGCCCTGGGATCCTCCCTAAATATCTGTGAAGATGTTTGTGTGTTAAGTATGTATTTCTTTGGAGAGAGGGTCTACAGATACTGAGAAGGTTCTGTTAGTTGAGATGGTTTAAAGCATCGCTCTGAGGAGCAGAATTTGGCTCCTTGAGCATAGAAGTTCTGCAAGGAAAGAAAGCCTGGACACCTGGAAGCCAAAGTTTAAGCCCTTAGAGATGCAATGGACCTGGTTGCCCATGGACAGAGGAAGAAGAATATGTGGATAGGGAAGGGATACAGAAAGGGACAGTGTGCTATGCCATAATACACGTAGCCTGCCATGATAGCCTGCCATGATAGCCTGCCATGAGCTTAATTATTATTTGTGTAATAATCTGTTGATGTTTTCCCAATAGTTTTGTTTTTTTTGTTTTTTTTTTTTTTTTAAGCTAACTGATCTGTCTTTGTGGGAGGTAAGAGTGGGTGGAGGGCAGGGTAGCAAGGACAATTCCCTTCAGCATACTTAGGAACATAGAAAGCACTCCGTAAATGTAGGACATGAATTGCTATGGGATGATAATAACAGCACTGTGCTGATTTTTGCTATTTTAAACCCAATGTCCGTTAATAGTCCCTTGCATCAGAATTCACTTCAACTTAGTACAGTTCAACTTGCTGTGATAAGCAATAGTTAAACGCAGCTTGTTGACATCATTTCATCCTTTCTACAGAAACTTTAGCAATGTGTTATGGTCACGAGCAAATAAGTGGTGGTGTGTTGGCCACCAGACTGAGAGCAGGGAGCTCTCAGAGCAACACTCCAGTATAACTAAGGAGGGTTCCCTTGGCTTGCTTGGGAATCCAGCTAATTCTTGCAGTGTGAGAATGTGGGGACAATATTGTCAGATTTCTAGTTTCTTTTAAGAAAAAAGTATAAATCATAATTTTTATGTGAAAATAATTGGGGATCAATTTAAAGTCTTAAGAAATCCTTAATAAGTAAAGAAGAAACAAGACTGTAGGTCATTCCTTTTGAGCCTCCTGTTTAAGATTGCTAGATTAGGCCATTCACATTGAGAATTTCTTACTTGAATCTAGAAGTCAAATTAACTTGGAAGAAACTTAGAGAAACGTCCTTTAGTACTAAAGAGTGGCAAAGAAGAAACTGTATAGAGCCAAGAATTTTAATAGGTGTCTGGGTGAGCAGCGAGGTAAATCCATTGAAATGCATTCTAAAACAATTGGTCGTAGTGCCTGGAAATTACAGTGAGGCATTCTCTTCACACTCATCTGCTTCTGCTGTCCCAGTGTTATTATTAGTAGCACCCCACTGAGGTGAGAATTTATATGGTTATCTCTCTGTGTAAACCTTTATTGATCTAACCTTGTTTAATCTTAGCTTTTTGTGTGTCTGTCTTCTCCACTAAACTAATGAGCTCCTTGAGACCAGAGATACAGTCTCATTTATCTAGCACATGCCTGCCATTTTGTGGACATGTAAGAAACATGTGTTAAGTAGAACTGAAGTAAAAGAATAAAGAAGAGCCTTGGGGTAGAAATAGTCAGCCCACATTATCTTCCATGTGCTGCAGAGGTCTAAACTGGAGACCCGGTTTTGAGCTAGTTATGAGCTTTATGGCTTGGGAAACTAATCTTTTTCAACTAAATGGGAGAATATTTATCACGTGCTTAGTGAAAGGCTTTTAAGTGCCCAATAAATGTTAGCTACTAGCACTGTTATCAATAATTAGTTGTTAATAATCACCATTATTACTATTAAAGATAATATAGTAACTTTATCTCTTTTGTAATGGAGAATTAAGATAATTTCTGTTTGCTTTATCTTGATAATGAACACAAAGACACTTTAGAAACTATATAGAGAGCCCTCACTGCACAGCCCATAAAAGAATGCATAGTAACCCAGAGGTTTTTGTCATAGAACAGAGTGACTCAGGCATATTTACTTTACATTACATGGGGGCTCAACTGACTGGTAATGTAAGGAAACTTTTAAATATAATATTTTTAAAAGGTGAAAAAATGGCTGGGTTGGAAGGTAGAAATTGATCTATGCCAAAGTGTTGAAACATAGAAAAAGCACATGGGAAAGAATGGTAGCTGGACTCAGGACAAGTAGGGAAATTAAGATTGGGGCACTGCTGAGTGTGGGAGTAAGACAGCATTTCTGCCAGTGTGATAAGGGGACAGAGCCATAGCTTGAGCTTGGAGCAGAAGGGTATTCATGTCAGAACATGCATTCTACTTTGCAAAATTAGTTCAGAGCTTGTATTTCTAAGTTAATGAGAACATTTTATCAAAGTTATGTCAAATGTGGACAATGCCTAAGAAAGCCATTCAGCACCTGTACGCATTGGAAGGAACCTAATGTTTACACACAAAAGCAGCCTTCAGCCAAGCATCACAGAACCTTTCCTGGCAATGTACACTTTACCAGGTGAAATAGAGAAGTTGATAGATTTAAAATTTTATGTTCCAGCTCCCTTGTTATCCTAAGAGACAATTCTAGCAAGAGCAGAACTGTTGACACTAGGAAGTCTTGTACCTAACTGCCAATAAACTGGGGGACAGAATTTCAGGTCTATTGCAGGGACATGTGATCAAGTAATAGCAGCAAGAGCCATAGTAAATGCTTACATAAGACAGCAACCCTGTTACATGGGTACAGTTACTATCCCATTTTGTGGAACACAAACTGAGGAATAAAGAGGTTATATAAATTACTGAAAATCATACACCTAGTAAGTGGCAGAGCTAGTCTCTGAACCCAAAGAGTCTTGGTTCACAGAATGTGCTTTTTACCTCTCAATTTTGGCCCTCATAACCAGTATAAAGTACACCCATGACTTCGTGGGATACAGCTGTGGGACTAAGACCATAAACTTCAGGGGCGGTTTTCTATTATATCTCAGGATTTCCTTGGAAGAAAGACATTCGTCCAGATTATACATGTATTAGAAGGGAGCTTCTTACCTTGTCTAGTTTATATCGTCTGGGGTCTAATAATATCCTCTCATGATGCATCAGTGGCCTGTAGAATGAGTTGAAGTAAACCAAATAGTCTCTATGGTGTTTTTCCCTAGACATAAAATGATTTTTGTTACTGAATGAGGAAGGAGTGTGGGAAGGCACAACTCTACCCCAAACTCCCAAGGGCAAGTTCGCATTTACTTGTCAATCCTCTTAGGGTCAAATACTTTCACCCAATCCCTGACTCAGAACTCAAGGCCTGGTTCTTTTCTTTTCTTCTCCTGTGACTACCAGTCCCAGCCAAGGGAATCTCTTGGTACTGCCATCAGCTAGCAGGCTGACAGACCTGGGTTGAAATCTTAGCAGTGGAACATTCTAGCTGTGTGGCTTTGGGAAAGTCATCTCATTCTGCCCCTCTAAGCTCAGTCCCACCATATATGAAATGAGGATGATTATCTCATTTCAGGGAAAATACAAGGATAAGGGGAGACTTAAACAAGACAACATGTCTAAACACTTAGCATAGTGCTTGGCACAGTGTAGTGGGTGCTCAAATTATAGAAACTGAAGTTCTAGTTAGACTGTGACTTCCTTGCTTCCCAGAATCATGTCTGACACTTCTTTGTCAAGAATCCTTCTTTATTCTCTCCATCCTTCACCCTCTCCATCCTTCACCCTGCCCTCTCCTCACCCTCCTCAGCTACTTCATTCTCTGCCCCCATTTCCATCACTAACATCAGTATTTGCTCATTGAGTGTTTATTGTGCTTAACCAATATTTGGGGTCGTTTTGATTCTGTCCCAGGAAATATTTGGCTATCAGACTCAAGGCTGCCGGAAAACTCTCTGCCTTGCCGGATCCATCTTCTCATTAGGAATCCTCCCCCTGGTGTTTTACTGGAGACCAGCGTGGCACGTATGGGCACATTGTGTTCCATGTTCTTTGCATGAAGCAGACACTGTGTTGCTGAGGACAACAGTAAGTGTGTACCTGGTTATGTAGCCAGTGCCCCTCTTTTTTTCTGGAAAATGTGTTATGGGGTGGCTGGGGGGAGATGTGCACAAGACAAGTAGCAGGTGGAGGCTCCAGTCTTAGGTTCCATCACAGCCTCGCATGTAGCAGGAATTCAATAATTTGTATATGTTCTTTTCAGGGACATGGATGGATCTGAGGCTATTATCCTTAGCAAACTAATGTAGGAACAGAAAATCAAATACTGTGTGTTGTCACTTATAAGTGGGAGCTAAATGATAGCTCATGGTCACATAGAAGGGAACAACATACATCTGTCAGAAGATGGAGGGTGGGAGGAGGGAGAGGATCTGGAAAAACGACTAATGGGTACTAAGCTTAATACATGGTGACAAAATAATCTGTATGACAAACTCCCATGAAGCAATTTACCTATATTTAAAAAAAACCTGCATGTGTACCCCTGACCTTAAAATAAAGGTTAAATTAAAAAGTTGTGGGTGGTGAGGTTTAAGAAGAGCTATTTCACAAGACATTTCTTTTAAAGTTGTGAGTTTTGTGAATGCTAGAGCAGGGAACAACCGTGTTAATAGCTAAAAATAATAGGTGACGTGAAGTAGTCAAGTCAGGCTTTAGGCTACTAAGTTCACACTGACCCTTCCTCTCGAATCCTAATATATCCTACTCCCTGCACTGGAGTGACTCCAGAGGAAAAGAAGGCGAGGGGTGGGGAGCATCCCTCTGAGGATGCTCTTTTTCCCAGCTTATTGATGGGAGCATGTTGCCTTCTGCAGATACGCCAAGGTAAACAATGCAGCCATCTTGCCCTTGAGGTCATTGCCTCTCTCTGTTAATACAAGACCCTGGCTTTGGGTGAGTTTCCCTGTGTTTGCTTCCATACCAATTCCTCCCAGTGCTCATAGCACTTAGACAATGTGCATCATTCCTGCAGGACTGTCAGCTTCTCAAAGGAAGTGACCATTTCTGACTTGTTAATTGCTGCACCCCCAGTTTGCAGCATCGATCACATTGGTCTCCTCACATGGGGCACCAGCTGTGGCATTGATCACATTGTGGTCACCACCTGAGATGCTGATTACTACTTGCAGAGGTCTGTAAAGTAGTAATGACTCAGTGATGGATGAATAAAATGCTCACACACACAATACAGTCAATCGGGTGGACTAGGGAGGTCCTCAGCTGCTCTTAGAGGGTGATTGCAGGTAACTCACCTCTACTCCTGGTTCTTCTTCGCATTTATTCAGTACAGATTTAATAACAGAGGTTCTAAGTCAACACACTTGTGGATAATTAACATCGTTAAAAGAGTGGTTTTACGAAGGACAAAAGGTTTTGGTTCCCAGGCCTAGAACAAATGCTTGTTCTAAGTCCCATGAGTGCTAGCTCCTAGTCAAGGGCTTTTCCATTGAACTGTATTTAAACCAGGGTTCCCAAACTTCAGTTGGCATCAGAATAATCTAGAAAGACTATCGGAACAGCTTGCTGGGTCCCACTCCCAGAAATTCTAGTTTATTAGATTTGGGGATTGGGACTCAAGAATTTGCATTTTAGCAGGTTCTCAAGTGATGCTAAAGATTCTTGTAAGGGGCCACACTGGAGAAAAGCTGCTGTAACTAGTTTTCACTTCCATTTGTGAGCTCACTTGTTCACTTGGACCTTAGGAGAGAAATAGAGACCTAGACATTTGATTTACAGCTCAGATGGTATATATTTATAATCGGAGGGAGAAGAATCCAGATTTAGTAAAGTGTTATGAGTGGCCCTCTCATACAGAGCCTGATTGCCTTTCGAGGGCAGGGGTAAAGTTTGCTTTCTGGGGTTCAGAGCAGGGGGATGAGTGTCTGTGGAAGACTCCTTCTTGGGTCCTTTTATAGGTCAACCCCTCCAGGTGAACTTAAGAATCTATCAGATTTTTATTTTCTGGCAAGAAGCTAATTTAACTGTACTCTGCAAGTATATCCATATGTCCTCAACTAGTTCTCAGAGGGTAATGCCTTTGTTGCGGTAGAAAGAGAACCATGTTCTGCCTTTCAGACTGAATCAGCAGTCTCTTCAGATCTGAGATGATCTGGTCAGCTGAGCTGTGCTCTCTGAGTTGCTGGCAGAGTCATGGCACAGACAAGAATAAGAGGAAATGGGTGAGGAAATGGGCAAGGAAATGGAAAAGGAGGGGAAGAAAATAGGTAAGAGGAAAATGAAGAGGGAGGAAAGAGAAAAAATCCACTAAGAGCGAATAACAAAAAGAGTGTTACTAAATGAGGAGATTATGTGTTTGGGGATTTGGAGTCAAAAGTTTTGATTTCTTGTCCTAGCACTTTAGGTTTGTTACATTTTCAGGATATCAATTTCACCACTGGTAAAACAGGGCTAGTGTGAGAACAAAGTGCGATTGTGTACCTAAAAGGCATTTGCAAACTGTAAAATGCATTATCAAAGACCACTTTAATTGTGTGTGTGTGTGTGTGTGTGTGTGTGTGCCATTGCTCAAGCCATTCTAAAAGTGTTCTATGCAAAAGAGCTTGCTGTGCACAAGGTGCTCCCATGTCTAATGACCTTGCTTACCTGGATGACGTACCTTTTCCTTATTACCCATGAGCCTGGCATTCCTTTCTGGGACAACAGACCTGGGGAAAGGTTTTTTTTTTTGACTGGGAATCTCTAGCTCTCAACCATACGCAGCCAGGTGATCTCTCCTAGTTGCATGCAGCTAGCTTTGCAAGTGGACATATACTGGAAAGACTCAAAAAAGCTTTGGTGCCCCTGGGAGCTGCATTCCATCACCCTGCCTCTTCCTTTGCATCTTTGACAGTCTATCAAGCCCCTGCAGAATTTCACTGCCCCTCCACAGCTAATCAGAGCAGTCTAAGCCAGCTTCAATCTTGCCTTTTCCATCTTGATTTCAACTTTAATTTTTAATTACCTGCTCTTGTGTGTCATTTTAAATAGATTTGCTATGCCAGAGACTCTCCAAATAAATGAGGTTCTAAATTAGTCTTTATGTAATTAGAGAAGAACTCAATTATTTCAAACATTCTTCCTATCTGAGACTTAGATAAAAATAAGCTTTGGGCACCAATAGTTTAAAAGTTTGCTGCTAGTTATTTGCATTAAAATGACACCTTAAGAAAGATTTTATTTGAATTATATTACAATGGCTGGACTATAATGACTTCTTATGAAGGAGGACTGGATGATTCCTACCTGAAAATGTGTTGTATATCTGTTCTTCATGTTATTAAAAAATCAGTGCTTGCTATATATTGTCAGTCTCAAGCTGGTAAGATTACAGATCGTTATCACAGATACTGATTAAGCAGTCACTTCTTGACATTAAAAAAAAAAGACTGTGATGTACTGACTAAAAGTCTTCAGTACACAGTTTATTTTCAGTTCTTCTTCTCCTAATAGGTACTCAGAGAGATTTTTTCAAAAGATAAGAGTATTAGGTTTTTATTTTATAATTTTCAAGTGGCATTCTGTTCATTATTCATCTACTTCTGAATTTTAACAAATATCAGTAGCAATGCCACATTTCTATGCAAATGGCATGATTTATATTCGTTGTTTTGAATTCAGATGCTCCTGATGATTTTCCTAGCTTCCGTCTTTATTGTAATTACAAACACATTTTTCTCTTCATCGTCATTGTAGGTTACATGTTGTCAAAGACCCATGATGTGCAGAGGAGGACTTTGTGATGATTAGCAATGCGGCCTGACTCAAGGCACTTCAGTTTGATATTTTAATCAGGAGCATTTTCACTTCGGTTTCAATTAAAGGTGTCAGGGTTAGGAGGGTTAGTTCAAAAACTTAGAAACTCTGTAAATCAGCCATGCAAATGGCATCTTAAAGTCTGCCAGTCCACCAGTATTCTTGTCAGGCGGCGGCATCTGTGTTCACAGGGTCCCTTACCTCCTCTCTTCCCCGCTCCTCCTCTGCCCCTTGGTCTGTCACAGCCCATGCTTCCCACACCAGGACCACTTTCCACTGGAACGAGACACTGTTTTGTGCATGTTTTTACCCGTAAAGTTTCTTCCGATAATTCCTTCTCCCCTCCATAATTCCTTTTCCCCTCCACTCATGCATGCATTCATTCACTTATGTTTTCATCCAGTTGGTATTTACTACCCACCAACCACGAACCAGACACTGGTATAGGCACTGGGAACGTAACTAGGAACAAAACAGATGGAAATCCTTGTCCTTACAGAGCAATCTTCTAGTGAGGAGTCAACACATATATGATTTCTCTTTCTCAAGTAAATGTAGAAAGTAGGTGTTGTCTCCACTTATTAAAGTCTCCTCATTTCTCAACCACATATCACCTTCTCTATTAAGTCATCACTGATTCTTCTTTGCCCCGGTTCAGAAGGGAGGGATTTAATCACCTGTCCTGCATTAGCTCTGTGTTTTCATTTGTGACTGCTATAGTGCTTTTTACCTTATATCAAAATGTTATTCACTTTACAGTTTATAATGCAGTATGTCATTGATTATTTAATTAATTCTCACAACAACCCTGGAAAATGGGCATTATCATCTCCATTTTACAGACAAGGATACAGAGAGACCAAGTGACTTTACAGCCCAGTCAGTATCAAAGCCGGGATTTCCTTCCTTCTAACTCTTTTTCATACATTTGATGAGCACAGGTTGTGTGCCAGCCAGCAGTGCTAGCCCAGGGGCAAGTGTCTGAGTGCGTGTGATGAATAAAACCAGGGTTCTTGACCTCATGGAGTTAATCAGATCACTACACAATAAATGTAAAAATTCACCTCTTAAAAGTACTCCTTGTGAAAGGTTCATGGTTATGATAGGATTATATAATAGAGATTTGACCAAGTCAAAACAGTGAGGGAAGGCTTTCTGAGCACCACAGAATGAGAGTTCAGAGGTGATGGTGGCTGGTGGGGGCAGGCACATGGAGAGTGATGCAGGTGGGAGGGAATATCGGGGCAAAGAACTGAAACCTAAGTCTTTCTCTA